TTCCCTACAGTACAGATCTCGTTTCTCCTCCCTGGACCACATTCTTTGCATGTCGGGCATCTAGGATATAAACCGTGGTCACAGAGTGATTCCTCTCCCTGCACATTTAGGTCAGGATACCAGGTGTGTTGGTGGAGGGCAGGGGGTAGGAGTGTTTCTGGAAGCCATTCCTACACTGGGGCCACTAGTAATCATGTAACTATCATAGAAGTGACTGTGAACCTTAAAACTATAACCCACTGATTTGAATTTTTTTTTTTTTTTTGAGGAGGGGTCTCATTTTGTTGCCCAGGCTGGAGTGCAGTGGTGTGATCTCAGCTCACTGCAACTTCCACCTGCTGGACTCCAGTGATTCTTCTGCCTCAGCCTCTCGAGTAGCAACAATTGCAGGTGCACACCACCACGCCTGGCTCATTTTTTTAAAAATATATTTTTAAAGCCGGGCGTGGTGGCTCACGTCTATAATCCCAGCATTTTGGGAGGCTGAGGCGGGTGGATCACAAGGTCAAGAGATCGAGACCATCCTGGTCAACAAGGTGAAACCCTGTCTCTACTAAAAATACAAAAATCAGCTTGGCATGGTGGTGCGTGCCTGTAGTCCCAGCTACTCGGGAGGCTGAGGCAGGAGAATTGCTTGAACCCAGGAGGCTGAGGTGGTGAGCTGAGATCGTGCCATTGCACTCCAGTCTGGGTAACAACAGCGAAACTCCGTCTCGAAAATATATATTTTTTAAGTAGAGACAGGGTTTTACTATGTGTTGGCCAGGCTGGTGTCAAACTCCTGACCTCAAGTGACCCACCCACCTCAGCCTCCCAAAGCGCTGGGATTATAGGCATGAGTCACCATGCCCGGCCAATTTCAAATTAAGTGTATGTTCAACTCAACCTGCCATTAGTGGGGTCTCAAAGTGCTGTGGCCACCTCAGTATCCCCTTCACCAGGGGAAGTGTTTTATCCTGGGAATTCCCAGTAGTCCTGTGTTGTGTATCTCTTCTTTTTTTGAGACGGAGTCTCACTCTGTTGCCCAGGATGAAGTGCAGTGGCGCAATCTCAGCTCACTGCAACCTCTGCCTCCCAGGTTCAAGCACAAAGTCAGTGCTCATTTATCCCTTGCACAAAGGGCCACGCTCACAGATGGTCATCCAGCTTTGCTCGCAAAAGTCAAAGATTAGAAACACCTAAGTGACCACCAGTAGGCGACTGGATGAAAATGTCTAAGGTGGAATACGTCCCAGCTTTTAAAAAGTGAAGAGTGAGGGCCGGGCACGGTGGCTCCAGCCTGTAATCCCAGCACTTTGGGAGGCCGAGGCGGGTGGATTACAAGGTCAAGAGATCGAGACCATCCTGGTCAACATGGTGAAACTCTGTCTCTACTAAAAATACAAAAATTAGCTGGGCACGGTGGCGCGTGCCTGTAATCCCAGCTACTCAGGAGGCTGAGGCAGGAGAATTGCCTGAACCCAGGAGGCGGAGGTTTCGGTGAGCTGAGATCGCGCCATTGCACTCCAGCCTGGGTAACAAGAGCAAAACTCCGTCTCAAAAAAAAAAAAGAGAAAAGTGTGCGGGGCACGGTAGCTCCAGCCTGTAATCCCAGCACTTTAGGAGGCTGAGGCATCACCTAAGTCAGGAGTTCAAGACCAGGCTGGCCAACCTGGTGAGATCCCCGTCTTTACTAAAAATATAAAAACTTAGCTGGGTGTGGTGGTGCACGCCTGTAATCCTAGCTACTCACGAGGCTGAGGCAGGAGAATCGCTTGAACCTGGGAGGTGAAGGTTGCAGTGAGCCAAGATCTCGCCACTGCACTCCAGCCTGGGCAACAGAGTGAAACTCTGTCTCAAAAAAAAAATAATTATAAATAAAAATAAAAAAACAAGAGAAAAGCGGTTCACTGATACGGAACAATTTCCGAGATACGTTGTTAGCATCGTGGCTCATGCCTATAATCCTAGCACTTCGGGAAGCCAAAGCAGGAGGACTGCTTAAGCCCAGGAGTTAAAGACCAGCCTGGGCAACATGGCGAGATCCTGTCTTTACAAAAAGTGTAAAAATTAGCCAGATGTGTTGGCACGTACCTGTAGTCCCAGCTACTTGGGGTGGGAGGGCGGTTGAGGCAGGAGAATCACTTGAGCCTGGGAAGTTGAGGCTGCAGGGAGCCATGTTTGAGTCCCTGCTCTCCAGCCTGGGTGACAGAGTGAGACCCTGTCTGAAAAAAAAAAAAAAGCAGTGTGTCTGGCATGTTTTCACCTGCATGGCACACAGAATATCCCTGGAAAGAAGCATGAGGGGACTGAGAAAAAAAGGAGATTTGCTTTTCCCTATAAAACGCTTTTGAGCCGTGTGAAGTGTTTTAATCACATGCTTGTCTTAATTTGTCATTTTTTTTTTTAAGGTAGAGAGGTTCAGCAATTGACAAACCGTTTTTCTTCCCAATTTAGATTATTCTTTTAGTGGCCAGCAGGGGGAGGCAAATGCTTTCTCTCTTCAAACATCTAAATCTTGACAACCACCTAAAAAAGGGGTGGCTGTAATCACTCCTCCAGAGGCAGGAGAATCGCTTAAACCGGGAAGCAGAGGTTGCAGTGAGCTGAGATTGTACCACTGCACTCCAGCCTGGGCGACAAAGCAGGACTCTGTCTCAAAAAAAAAAAAAAAAAAAGTGGAGGCTGTACTTTGTGGCAGGGGCGTGGAACTCACCTTATAAGTTGGGGCTTTAGGCTGGGTGCGGTGGCTCATGCCTGTAATCCTAACACTTTGGGAGTCTGAGGCAGGCAGTTCATGAGGTCAGGATTTTGAGATTAGCCTGGCCAGCATGATGAAACCCCATCGCTACTAAAAATACAAAAATCAGCTGAGCGTGGTGGCAGGTGCCTGTAGTTCCAGCTACTTGGGAGGGTGAGGCAGGAGAATCGCTTGAACCTGGGCGGAGGTTGCAGTGAGCAGAGATTGCGCCATTGCACTCCAGCCTGGGCGACGGAGCGAGACTCCATCTCAAAAAAAAAAAAGTTGGGGACTTGAAAGGTAGTGAAAATAAGTTGCTATTATGAACTCCAGGGAAACCACGATTTTAAAAAATAGCTTTATTGAAATATAATTCATACACCATACAATTCGCCCACTTAAAGTGTGAAAAATCGTTGGTATATTACATTATAAAGGCTGGGCAAGGTGGCTCATGCCTGTAATCCCAGAACTTGGTGAGGCTGAGGCAGGTGGATCACTTGAGCTCAGGAGTTTGGGACCAGTCTTGGCAATCTGGCAAAACCGAGGCTCTATCAAAACTATAAAAATTGTGGTGGTATGCGCCTGTGGTCCCAGCTACTTGGGGGGCTGAGGTGGGAGGATGGCTTGAGCCCCAGAGGGTGAAGCTGCAGTGAGACGTGGTCATGCCACTGCACTCCAGGCTGGGTGACAAAGTGAGACCCTGTTAAAAAAAAAAAAAACAGCTATTAATTTTTAAAAATTGTGGCAAAATATATATAACTAAATTATTCAATCTTAACCAATTTTTTTGAGTTGGGGTCTTGCCCTGTCACTCAGGCTAGAATGCAGTAGCACAATCAAAACTCACTGCAGCCTCAAACTCCAGAGCTCATGCAGTCCTCACACCTCAGCTTCCCGAGTAGCTGGAACTACAGACTCACACCACCATGCCTGCCTCCATTTTAACCATCTTCTCTTTTGTTTTGTTTTTGAGACGGAGTCTCACTCTGTCTCCAGGCTGGAGTGCAGTGGCACGACCTCAGCTCACTGCATCCTCCACCTGCTGGGTTCAAGCCATTCTCGTGCCTCAGCCTCCTGAGTTAGCTGGGACTACAGGCATGCACCACCACACTCAGCTGATTTTTGAATTTTTAGTAGAGATGGAGTTTCACCATGTTGGCCAGGCTGGTCTCGAACTCCTGACCTCAAGTGATCTACCTGCTTCAACCTCTCAAAGTGCTGGGATTAGAGGCATGAATCACCATGCCTGGCCAATTTTAACCATCTTTAAATATCTGATTTGGTGGCATTACACTATTGTTACCCAGGCTGGAGTGCAATGGCGGGATCTCGGCTCACTGCAACCTCCGCCTCCTGGGTTCAAGCAATTCTCCTGTCTCAGCCTCCTGAGTAGCTGGGATTACAGGCACGCGCCACCACGCCCAGCTAATTTTTTTTGTATTTTTAGTAGAGACGGGGTTTCACCATGTTGACCAGGATGGTCTCGATCTCTTGACTTCACGATCCACCCGCCTCGGCCTCCCAAAGTGCTGGGATTGTAGTCGTGAGCCACCACACCTGGCCTAATTTTTTTTTTTTTTTTTTTTTTTTTAGAGACAAGGTCTCACAATGTTGTTTAGGCTGGTCTCGAACTTCTGGATTCAATCAGTCCTCCTGCCTCGCCCTCCCATAGTGTTGGGATTACAGGTGTGAGCTACCATGCCCAGCTTCTTTCATCTGTTGGTAGATGCTTGGGTTTTTCCACCTTTGGTCTGGTCAGTAGTGTTGCTATGAACATCGGTTTACAAATATTAGTCTGAGTTCCTGCTTTCAATTCCTTTGGGTATGTACATAATTGGGAGTGGAGTTGCTAGATCATATGGTAATTCTATGCTTAGCTTTTTGAGGAACTGCCAAACTATTTATCATAGCAGCTGCAACATTTTATATTCCCACTAGCAACATACTATACAAGAATTGAAACTTTTTTTTTTTTTTTTTGAGAAGGAGTCTTACTCTGTCTCCCAGGCTGGAGTGCAGTGGCTCAATCTTGGCTCACCGCAACCTCTTCCTCCCAGGTTCAAAGGATTCTTGTGCCTCAGCCTCCTGAGTAGCTGGGATTACAGGCAGGAGCCACCACGCCCCACTAATTTTTGTATTTTTAGTAGAGACAGGGTTTCACCATGTTTGGCCAGGCTGGTCACAAACTCCTGACCTCAGGTGATCCGCCTGCCTCGGCCTTCCAAAGTACTGGGTTACAGGTGTGGGCCACTGCACCTGGCCAGGAATTGAAACCTTAATTTATAAAACCAAACAGGTGTCAGTTGCTTGCTAGGAAACGGAGAACCAGTGCTGAGGTTTCTTTACCTCTTGGCAAAATTGACTCCTATGCTGGGCTGAGGAGGACGTGCAGTGAGAAGGCCGGAGAGGGAAGGCCTGGAGGACTCTGGAATTCTGCCGGGAACAAAGGCAGGCCAGTGAAACCCTCAGCTTGGGAGGTGGGTGGTAGGGGCAGGAGGAGGTGGCCGAGGGGGAAACTGAGACCCAGAGATCCTTAAACATTGAGCTGGAGGTCATCGTGCCCAACCTCTTGCTGCAGCTGGGAAACGAGGGTTGGGGGTTGTCACTGTCACGTGTGCAGAGGGAGAGAATGCTGGCTCCGGACAGGTCCCAGGTGAGCGCCTCATTAGTAAGCTCACGATGCAGGCGAGGGGCCTCGAAATGGCCCAGTGTGTGTGGAATGCTCAGTAAATGTCAGATAATAGCTATTAAACACGGAATAATGATAGTTGAGTACCTACTATGTGCCATATTCTGTATGCCAAGCCCATTACATACATTCGCTGGGAAACTGAGGCTACCTGGCCTGCCCAAGGTCACACAGCCAGTAAGAGGCAGCGAGGACTTGAGGCCAGTGTCGTTCCATGAAGGTGCCTGCGCTGGCGGCAGCTCTGGACGCCCAGCCACAGTCTCATCTGCTCTGCTTCGGCCCGTGGTCTCCCCAGGGGCTCTGAGAGTTAGGTGAGGATTCATGGCTGGTCTGTTTGGTGGGTCTCTAGGGTTTTGAACTTACCCTGCAAGGGTATGATGGGGCCCAGGTCCTGCTCCCATCCTGAAAAGAAAGGGTCGGTTTCTGAAACGGATTTTTTCCTGAAGGCTTGTTCCTGTTGATTTTAGGGGCCCCTGGAATCCTTTGGATTCTGATTCTGGGAGGTGGGTCTTGTGGCTGCTTCTCCTGGAGGACGGAGGCTTATGTAGGTAGGGGGTACTGCTGGGGTGGCGGGAGCCCAGATGGTCCCGAGACTGCGGCCATCCGGAGAGCAGTGATGCAGCAGGGGTTTCGTGGTCCAGGGCAGAGCCAGGGCCGACTGTGAGAGGGACGGGATTGTCCCCAGGGACAGACCTCAAGAAGAGGGGGATTTCCTGTGGTCTTGGGTGCTCAGGGTGGACCAGAAGCCTTGGGAGTGAGTGTGCTTCTGAGACTGGCGCCCCACTTGGCGGAGGACCTCCTCTGGTTGTTTACCACAGTAGAGACAGATAAATGCTCCTCTCCCAGCTTGGCAGACACAAAGATGGAGGCGGATGTAGTCCTGCCCTTGGCAGATACAATCCTGCCAGAAGCTGGGGGCGGGGTGGGAATGCTGGGGTGAGCAGTGCTGCTTCATTGCTTCTGCTGTTTTACTCTCTCCTCACCATCCCCAGGTATCCGCCCGCGTGGACAGCTGGGACTGGGTGATTAAGCTGTAGAAGGCTCAGGCTGGGCATGGTGGCTCATGCCTGTAATCCCAGCAATTTGGGAGGCTGAGGCAGGTGGATCACCTGAGGTCAGGTGTTCAGCCTGGCCAACATGGTGAAACCCTGTCTCTACTACAGATACAAAAATTAGCCGGTGTGATGGCAGGTGCCTGTAATCCCAGCTACTCGAGAGGCTCAGGCAGGAGAATCACTTGAACCTGGGAGGCAGAGGTTGCTATGAGCCAAGATCGCACCACTGCACCCCAGCCTGGGCAACAGAGTGAAACTCCATCTAAAAAAAAAAAAAAAAAAAAAGGCTCCACTGTCCATGGAAAGACTGTGTGGCCTGGGCCAGGGAGAAGGAATTGCACTCAGTGTGCTCAAGACTCAGGTCTCCCTCTCTGATGAAAAGCACTGAGGGACCACCCAAGTCACAGGAGCAGCTTGGTTTACGTCTTCAATTTCTAAAGACACAGAGATGAAAAATCTTCTTGTCACTTACAAGAAGCTGGACACAGAACACGATGATCTTTTCTGTAAATCCACCCAGCACCGCATGTGCGTAAGTTGGTGTGGTCCTGAGAAGGAGCCTTCCTGGTCCAAAAGGCTGAGATAATACACCAGGGAGGGGGCAACAGGGATGGAGGGAGGGGCCATGCCTCACTGGATTGGAGCCCCTTTGGGGCCCTATGATGAGTACTTCCAGCTGCCCATCCACCATCCACCCATCCACCCCTCCTTCCTCCTCACCCATCCACCCATAGTCATGTACCTTTTTTTCTTTTTTTTTTTGAGATAGAGTTTCACTCTGTCATCCCGGTTAGAATACAATGGTGCAATCTCCGCTCACTGCAGCCTCTGGGTTCAAGTGATTCTCCTTCCTCAGCCTCCCTAGTTACTGGGATTACAGGCACCTACCACCACGCTCAACTAATTTTTGTATTTTTAGTAGAGACAGGATTTCACCATGTTGGCCAGGCTGGTCTTGAACTCCTGACCTCAGGTGATCCATCCACCTTGGCCTCCCTAAGTGCTGGGATTTACAGGCATGAGCCACTGTGCCAGACACCATTCACCTTCTCATCTGCTCAGGTACCCATTCATCTATCCATCCATCCGTCTATCTGTTCATCCATCTACCCACTCACCTTTGAGTTAAAACTGACGTGTTAAGGTCAAACTGCGTTGCTTTCCTCTGCTCTGATAGTACAACAATCAATACAAAAGACTTCTCTGACCAAATGGTGGTGCGGGAGGGGGGTGCGGCATTCTCCAGCAGCAAGCAAGGGTGTTGGCCGCCAAACAGCTGGTGTCTTCTGATTGAATTCTGACCCCGTCTACCTGCAGATGGCGTCAGATGCCGCAGGTCGAGGGCTCAGTCCCACAAGACTGACTCCCCTCCCCCTCCACACCAGTTGCAAGTCTGAGCCTCTGGCCTTCAAGTGGGGATCCCACAACCTCTCTTTGGGTTCAGTTAATTTGCAGAGCGGCTCGCAGAACTCAGGGAACCGCTTATGTTTACTGGTCTATAAAGGATGTTAGAAAACATACAGATGAAAAGATGCATAGGGCAGGTTACAGGGAAGGGACGCGGTGCTTCCGCCACCTCTCACCTGCGGGTCCCATCCTTCAGAAACCACCATGTGTTCAGCTATCTGAGAAGCTGCGCAAACTCTATCCCCCTGGGCCTTTTCTGGGGACTTCACTGTGCCAGCCTGATGGACCTCTGAGTAGAACTGTGAATGGGGAAAAGGATCTGATCGAATATTCATGGACTAGTGTGGAACCCCAGCAAGGCCTGTGTGTTCAGATTCTTCTTGGCCTCTGTGTGCTGCACTTCTTACTCCAAGGGATGGGGCAGGACCCCTTCTGAAATGAGGGTCTTATGACCCATAATCAGACAACGTAGCTCAGAGCATTTCTTCAAGGAAGAATTTCTGTTCTTTTTGTTTTGTTTAGACAGAATCTCGCTCTTGTCACCCAGGTGGGAGTGCGATGGCATGACCTCAGCTCACTGCAACCTCCATCTCCCAGGTTCAAGCGGTTTTCCTGCCTCAGCTTCCTGAGTAGCTGGGATTACAGGTGCCCACCACCACCATGCCCGGCTAACATTTTGTTTTGTTTTGTTTTGTTTTTGAGACGGAGTTTCGCTCTTGTTACCCAGGCTGGAGTGCAATGGCGTGATCTCAGCTCACCGCAACCTCCGCCTCCTGGGTTCAGGCAATTCTCCTGCCTCAGCCTCCTGAGTAGCTGGGACTACAGGCACGAGCCACCATGCCCAGCTAATTTTTTGTATTTTTAGTAGAGACGGGGTTCCACCTTGGTGGCCAGGATGGTCTTGATCTCTTGACCTTGTGATCCACCCGCCTCGGCCTCCCAAGTGCTGGGATTACTGGCTTGAGCCACCGCACCCGGCTGATATTTTTGTATTTTTAGTAGAGCCAGGGTTTTGCCATGTTGGCCAGGCTGGTCTCGAACTCCTGACCTCAAGTGATCAGCCCTCCTCAGCCCCCCAAAGTACTGGGACTACAGGCATGAGTCACCATACCTGGCCAGAATTTCTGTTCTAAGACAGAAAGGCAGGGGAGAATTCCTACCTTGAGGAGAGAGAGGAGCAGGTGAAGGAAGGGCAGGCGAAGAGAGTCTGTTTTCTGAGCCTGTTCCTGAGGCCGAAAGCACCCCAACATTATAACAAGACACTAACAAAGGCTGTCAGTTATGAGCCAGAAACCATGGGCAAAAACCCATTTTATGTATATATAGAATAGTGTCACAGCACCCATCCAGCCATCCAACTGTCCGTCCACCCACCCACCTTTGAGTTAAAACTGACATGATGAAAAGCTCAATCCAGCCAAGAGCTTCGAAAGAGTCCCAGGCGGAGGGAACAGGACAGAAGGACAGAAGGACAGAATGAGCCTGGTGGATTCAAAGATGTCACCGTGGCCAGGGGCCGGTGGGGTGAGACGGGGCTGCGAGGTGGGCAGGACCCGATCTCAGGGGGCTGGTCAGCTGAGAGGGGTCATCGTGGACAGGGGGCTGGTGGGGTGAGATGGGGCTGCAAGGTAGGTAGGACCCGATCTCGTGGGGCTGGTCAGCTGAGAAGGGAGTTTGGATTTTGTTCTAAGTACAAGGAGAAACCTGGAGGGTTTAAAGCAGGAGAGTGGGATGTTGTCATTTACTTTTTTTTTTTTTTTTTTTTTGATATGGAGTCTTGCTCTCTGTCCCAGGCTGGAGAGCAGTGGTGTGATCTTGTCTCACTGCAACCTCTGCATCCCAAGTTCAAGTGATTCTCCTGCCTCAGCCTCCCAAGCAGCCGGGACGACAGGCTCATGCCACCATGCCCGGCTAATTTTTTGTATTTTTAGTAGAGATGGGGTTTCACCGTGTTAGCCAGGGTGGTCTCAATCTCTTGACCTTGTGATCCGACTGCCTAGGCCTCGCAAAGTGCTGGGATTACAGGCGTGAGCCACCACGCCCGGCCATCATTTACATCTGACAAAGAACCAGTGGTTGATGGAAGGACTGTGGGGGCAGGAGTGGGGAAAGGGAGACAGCTAGGTGGCTTCAGCCCATTCCCTCCTAAGTCTCCAAATTCCTTTTTCCTTCAAGGCCCCACCCTGATTCCAGGTGACATGGGATGACCCCAGAGCTGCAGGGGACCTGGGTGGTCCTGGAGGGACACTAGCTGGGGAGGGTGGCCAGGTGTGGCCAGTGGTTCGGGTATAGAGAGGGGCCCTGGAACCTGGCCATCAGGTTAAAC